GGCGTTCTTCACATTTCACTGGCGAGACGCGCAGAGGCGCCCACGACTCCCAGCCAGGCCCCGCGCTCCCTGCGACCGATTGCTCCGCTCGCAAATCCCACTCGGCAAATTGTTCCCCGCTGCTTTGCGTTCATTAACGACCGGTTATATATTTTGTTTTTTTTACCACCCCAATAATATATTTACATAGGTGAACTGTTCGGATCGTTTAATTCGCCGATTGCTTATTCTGAAGATATTTATCATTTTTGGAGGATATTTCATGAAATTATAGAAGCGTTGGCTGATTTAGTTTAAAAAATAATAATTATAACAATCATTAAATTACATTAAATAATAATTATAATTATAACTTGGGGCCATAGGCTCGGTAGTGAATTTCAAGCGAAGTTGCCGACCTTCAGTCGGAACGACGGCATCATTCGCTTGACCGGACCAAGCCCCTGCCTGCGATGATGTCACGGGACATCAGAGAATCCAGCAACATGTTCTGGTAAGTGCTGCTCGCTGTCACCATCATCATCATCTCGTGAGCGACTAGACACTCCAGCAGCAGCAGCAGCTATGCTCCATTCACTGATGGACGAATACTTCTGCGAGCCGCCGCCACCACTCGCAAATCCCGCCACGTAAATGAGCGATCCGCCCACCCGCAGGCGCTCTCCACCAGAGCCGATGTCACCATCGCCCCGTCTCCCGAGCGCGTCCCCGTTACTCGGCTGACTCGACCCTCCCGGCCTGTGGTCGTGGTGGTTGCGGTGGTCGTGGTGGTCGTGGTGGTCGCGGTGGTCGTGGTGGTCGTGGTGGTCGCGGTGGTCGTGGTGGTCGTGGTGGTCGCCGTGGTCGTGGTGGTCGCGGTGGTCGTGGTGGTCGTGGTGGTCGTGGTGGTCGCAGTGGTCGCGGTGGTCGTGGTGGTCGTGGTGGTCGCCGTGGTCGCGGTGGTCGTGGTGGTCGTGGTGGTCGTGGTCGCCGTGGTGGTCGCCGTGGTCGTGGTGGTCGCCGTGGTCGCGGTGGTCGTGGTGGTCGCGGTGGTCGTGGTGGTCGCCGTGGTCGTGGTGGTCGCGGTGGTCGTGGTGGTCGTGGTGGTCGTGGTGGTCGCGGTGGTCGTGGTGGTCGTGGTGGTCGTGGTGGTCGCCGTGGTCGTGGTGGTCGCCGTGGTCGTGGTGGTCGTGGTGGTCGTGGCGAGGTGGCCGTCCAGCCCTTCGCGGGCTCCTGCCTCCTCACCCGCGAGCATTTTCGTTTTTAGTTCGGACGATATTCTGGCAAATCGCCCGATGATGCTGGATGTCATCACCAGCGAAACGTCGTACAACTCAAATTGTAAATGTTGTGGATTTACGCTCCAACACACCGGTGGGCTGAAGTAGTAACTACACTATACACTACTATACACTACACTATACACTACACTATACACTACTATACACTACTATACACTACACTATACACTACTATACACTACACTATACACTACACTATACACTACACTATACACTACAATACACTACACTATACACTACACTATACACTACACTATACACGACACTATACACTACACTATACACTACAATACACTACACTATACACTACACTATACACTACACGACACTATACACTACTATACACTACACTATACACTACACTATACTAGTAACTAATTGGCGTTTTGTTGACGTGACACATCCCTTACTAATTGGCTGTGTCGGGTGGTGAAGGGTTACGACACAACATTTCTACTTACGCCATCTAACCCCAAAAACCTTTATTGTGAATACTATTGGTCGTTAAAGCCCAACTACGTGTTAAACTGATACCAGAGAGCACGCAGGCTCACGTGTCTGTGTGTGTGTCCTCTACGTGTGTGTGTGTGTGTCCTCTACGTGTGTGTGTGTGTCCTCGACGTGTGTGTGTGTGTGTCCTCGACGTGTGTGTGTGTGTGTCCTCTACGTGTGTGTGTGTGTGTCCTCGACGTGTGTGTGTGTGTGTCCTCTACGTGTGTGTGTGTGTGTCCTCGACGCCGGCTTCCCCTCTCTCTCGCAGCGTCTGCTGCTGTCGCTGCTGTACCTCTCGTGATTTTTTATTTTTTTCCTACCCACGGCAATCACTTCACGGCCAATAAGCCTTCGTTGTAGGATACACAATCGGCAGTCATCGACCAAGTGTCACATCCATACGTCCATCTGTATCGGCGCTGCATGCGTGCTGACAGCGAATGGTTGTGAGAATCTATATATTTGTCGTATTGATGATGCAGTATACTGTTCACGTTTAAGGATAAATGTGCGCCGAGCCTGAATGTTGTACTGACTGTGTTGTAAGCGTACGTATCTATAAACATTTCAAAGGTGCCGTTTGTTGCTGACCGCTTGACGTTTTGAGCTCAGCAACCGTGATTGTGTTTGTAAGTGCGTTTCGGGCGAACGGTGGTTAGCGCACTGCGCTATGGACCCAGCAGCCTAAGTTCGATTCCCTGCCACGGCTGCCACCGGTGGCGAGTGAAATCTTACCAGTCGGTCCTGCGCCACCCACACCTGCCTACCTTCACCGGCGTGGTGAAGTATGGCCAAACAAAACCTCGACGAAGGACGTCAGGAGCGCCCTCCCATCCAGCAGTGGATGGACCGACAGAGGCTGACGCGACGCGTCAGATGGACGTGGTGGCCGTGTCCGCGAGGTTTAACCCCACGTGGAAGTCGCCACGTAACTTGCCTGGCCGTGCGACGACTCTGCACGTGGAATGCGCAATGGGTGAGCTGGGCTCAACGGTAGCAACGAGCGGGGCACGGATTCGTCAGGTGTCATCGAGGATGCTTGCGGATGAAATCAGAAAGCGAGTAAGCAGACAATACCGTACGTCTCGTTGCCGCATCTCATGAGCACGGTAGGCTACGTACGGCGCGAAAGAAGTTCGATATCGTACGGACGGACCAGAGCAGGCATGACTGTGCTGCTGAGACGCCGATCGTGTGAAGCGGCCCTGAGTGTTGCTCGATGTTAAACTAACCACTGCTGCTGAACTTACAACAATCACATGCAGAAGCGAACGCCGCGGAGCTGATGTGACGTGTACAATGAATGTCGTCAATGTGAATGGTCAGAGATGCGTGGGGAATGAGGTGGAGAGTCGGAATGTTATCATAATGCATATCGACTCGTGTGAAGAGTGGGCAAGAATGAGTTTTTAAGTGGTTATTCACCAAATTACTACAATGTAGTGCAAGTTTATATCATTGTAATGAAAAGTCTGCAAGATAGCCATGCTTCCACAACTTCACAAACCTACACTGACCAAACCAGCATAGTGAAGTATGTGAGATACCTGCATGGTGAAGTATGTGAGATACCCAGCATGGTGAAGTATGTGAGATACCCAGCATGGTGAAGTATGTGAGATACCCAGCGTGGTGAAGTATGTGAGATACCCAGCATGGTGAAGTTTGTGAGATACCCAGCATGGTGAAGTATGTGAGATACCCAGCATGGTGAAGTTTGTGAGATACCCAGCATGGTGAAGTTTGTGAGATACCCAGCATGGTGAAGTATGTGAGATACCCAACATGGTGAAGTTTGTGAGATACCCAGCATGGTGAAGTATGTGAGATACCCAGCGTGGTGAAGTATGTGAGATACCCAGCGTGGTGAAGTATGTGAGATACCCAGCATGGTGAAGTATGTGAGATACCCAGTATGGTGAAGTTTGTGAGATACCCAGCATGGTGAAGTATGTGAGATACCCAGCATGGTGAAGTATGTGAGATACTCAGCGTGGTGAAGTATGTGAGATACCCAGCATGGTGAAGTATGTGAGATACCCAGCGTGGTGAAGTATGTGAGATACCCAGCATGGTGAAGTATGTGAGATACCCAGCATGGTGAAGTATGTGAGATACCCAGCATGGTGAAGTATGTGAGATACCCAGCGTGGTGAAGTATGTGAGATACCCAGCATGGTGAAGTATGTGAGATACCCAGCATGGTGAAGTATGTGAGATACCCAGCGTGGTGAAGTATGTGAGATACCCAGCATGGTGAAGTATGTGAGATACCCAGCATGGTGAAGTATGTGAGATACCCAGCATGGTGAAGTATGTGAGATACCCAGCATGGTGAAGTATGTGAGATACCCAGCATGGTGAAGTATGTGAGATACCCAGCGTGGTGAAGTATGTGAGATACCCAGCATGGTGAAGTATGTGAGATACCCAGCATGGTGAAGTATGTGAGATACCCAGCATGGTGAAGTATGTGAGATACCCAGCATGGTGAAGTTTGTGAGATACCCAGCATGGTGAAGTATGTGAGATACCCAGTATGGTGAAGTATGTGAGATACCCAGCATGGTGAAGTATGTGAGATACCCAGCATGGTGAGTATGTGAGATACCCAGTATGGTGAAGTTTGTGAGATACCCAGCATGGTGAAGTATGTGAGATACCCAGCATGGTGAAGTTTGTGAGATACCCACCATGGTGAAGTTTGTGAGATACCCAGCATGGTGAAGTATGTGAGATACCCAGCATGGTGAAGTATGTGAGATACCCAGCATGGTGAAGTATGTGAGATACCCAGAATGGTGAAGTATGTGAGATACCCAGCGTGGTGAAGTATGTGAGATACCCAGCGTGGTGAAGTATGTGAGATACCCAGCGTGGTGAAGTATGTGAGATACAGCATGGTGAAGTATGTGAGATACCCAGCATGGTGAAGTATGTGAGATACCCAGCGTGGTGAAGTGTGTGAGATACCTAGCGTGGTGAAGTATGTGAGATACCCAGCATGGTGAAGTGTGTGAGATACCCAGAATGGTGAAGTATGTGAGATACCCAGCGTGGTGAAGTTTGTGAGATACCCAGAATGGTGAAGTTTGTGAGATACCCAGAATGGTGAAGTTTGTGAGATACCCAGAATAGTGAAGTATGTGAGATACCCAGCATGGTGAAGTATGTGAGATACCCAGCGTGGTGAAGTTTGTGAGATACCCAGCGTAGTGAAGTATGTGAGATACCTAGCATGGTGAAGTATGTGAGATACTCAGCGCGGTGAAGTATGTGAGATACCCAGCATGGTGAAGTATGTGAGATACCCACCATGGTGAAGTATGTGAGATACCCAGCATGGTGAAGTATGTGAGATACCCAGCATGGTGAAGTTTGTGAGATACCCACCATGGTGAAGTTTGTGAGATACCCAGCATGGTGAAGTATGTGAGATACCCAGCATAGTGAAGTATGTGAGATACCCAGCGTGGTGAAGTATGTGAGATACCCAGCGTGGTGAAGTATGTGAGATACCCAGCATGGTGAAGTATGTGAGATACCCAGTATGGTGAAGTTTGTGAGATACCCAGCATGGTGAAGTATGTGAGATACCCAGCATGGTGAAGTATGTGAGATACTCAGCGTGGTGAAGTATGTGAGATACCCAGCATGGTGAAGTATGTGAGATACCCACCATGGTGAAGTTTGTGAGATACCCAGCATGGTGAAGTATGTG